AACATTTTAGCCAGTCGAGGACTGTCTGAGGGTTAAGACGTAGGGTTCAGGTTAGAATTAGGTTTACGCCATTGTTGGGGGTTAGACATTTACTCTTGATGGTTAAGGTTAGGATATGGAGTTAGACAAGGCATTATGTCAGTGAGTGCAGAGCTATAGTCAGACATGACTGTGTGTATGTCTGTGTGCCCCACTGCGCTGCAGTTACTGATTTACATTATATGATCATCAGCCCATGCAAGAGAAGTTCCAGCCCTCAAACGCACCCCTTTTTCAGTAAACGCCTGCTTCACTATCAAGTCTGCTCCTACATACCAAATAGAGCAGAGAAGTGTAATGAAACATCATTGTCTTCCTTTCATGCACAATGCTGTAGCACCCTCTGTTGGTGAGTTAGATTACAACATGTTTTTGTAAAATAAAACATCAGAATCAGAATCAGCTTTATTGGCCAGGTGTGTTGGACACAAGAGGAATTAGACTCTGGTACAGCAGCTCTCAATGTGCATGTACATGTCCTCATGTAAGGCAGCAATGGGCAAATAAAGAATATAAGGCTGAGAGAACAGAAAGAAAAGAAAGTAATGTGCAAACAAGCAAGAGGAATGTGCATTAGGAAATAAGGTAAAATAAAAATAAGGAACTTAGAGACCTGTATGTAAACGCAGTCTAGGTGCATTTTACGGATCTATATATATACAAGGAATATTTACAATTATTGCCCTGAGGGTTACTGACCAGTCATACCTTTGGGGTTAAGTGTTAATCAGAGTGACAGCCTGGGGGAAGAAACTGTCCTTGTGCCTGGTTGTCTTGGCGCACAGTGGCCTGTAGTGCCGTCCAGAGGGGAGTAGTTCAAACATCACAACATCTGATGTTTTCATGCATTGCAGCTGGTGCAAATAATATTAAGTGTGCACATTTTCAATGAGCTCATGACACAAAACAACTGTCAACACCCCCAACTCTAACATATTACAATATTAGTTTAATTTCCCCAAGTTTTTAGCAAGAGACCCCTCAAAGTGTGCCTGGTGCAAAAGTTTAATTTGTCTGTGTCTGATACCTATCTTGGATTAATCATGAAGGTGAATTCATTAACCTTAATTGTAAGGTTTTTGTGGTGAAAGGGCGAGGTGTGTTGAGTGTTCATAGAAGGGGAGATACAATCCAATTCATTCAGTATTGATTTGCATTGACTTCTGGCCAAGCAATAACTAAGAACCTCCCTCTCCCACACACACACACACACACACGCAGTCTCTATGACAATCAAGTTAATTAAAGTCATTGAACAATCAGGTACTGAGAGTACAGACAGAATTAGTCACCCTCAGGCCAAGTACTTTAAATCTTAATCAGACGTACACTAATTAAACTTTGTTTCAGCAACTAGCCTAAAAACTGAGAACTTTGCTCTCAGATTCTTGTGTGTGAGGTTGTATATGTTATTAACACCAAACCTTTGATTGCAATTAGAAAAAGTAAAGTTCTGACAACCACATGTGCTTGTGGTGTGTGTATGTTTGCAAACAATATAGTTAGTAGGTCATTTATGGGGTCATGCACAGCCCAGTGCCCAGCCCATGTGGACTTACAATAACACAACAATATTGTTCTTGTAGTGCAGCTTTTGTCAGACAAGAACATAACTTCTTATAACGTTACATTGTCTTCTGTCCTCCAGGTGTGTGCTCGTAAATCATCAGGCTTATACCAGCAGTCATGCAGTTACTAGAGACAGATGTGGCATAATAAACATCTGTCTGACATTTAGCATTGAGCTAAAATACTGTAACAGTAGCACAAGTGAGGAAGAAGGCAGTGAAATTAAGTCTATTAAAGTAATTATATACCTCTACTTTGTTAACATTAGGAAACATTAGTTCTCATACCGAATCAAATAAAGCCAACATAGCAGCAAAATGCCTGAATGTATTGAGCAACACTGTGTTTGTGATCTTCAGTTTCACCAGGATCGAATTTAAAAAATAAAGTATTTACCATTAAACCTGCCTGCTTCTATAGCTAATGGGTTAGTACACATCTGTTTACACTAGAACCACTTCAGCCCCAGTTAACATCTGTCTACAAAAGACAAGTTGAATTCAAAATCTTTTCATTTCAACTATGATGTACAAGAAAACTGAACTGAAATGTATGCACAAATCCATCTTTAAAATGATTTACTTCAAATGATTTATTAGTAATAGTTTGTGAAAGACTTGTGAGGATTTCTATGACAGAACATGTTAAATGGTAAAAGTAGGCAAAAAAAGAAGAAGAAAAAGAAAATATGCCAAAGAAAATTAAGCTTGTTTTTCAAGGCTCGACTAACCAGCTATGTCATAACAAATCCTGCTCTGGGCACATAAGGCTTTGGTGCTGCTGCTCTGGCATCTTAACTGCTATGCAAGTCAGTTCAGGCCAGGCAGAGCAGTCCAGCCATTGTCAACCTGAGGGACTCCAGACTAGGAATTCAGTTCATGAATCATGCAGACCCAGGGCTCCAGCATGAAATCACTCATTTGTTCCATTTTTCCATGGACTGAAAAAGTTGGACAGTTAATGCCAGAAGCTATTACAAGAATGAGGATTTTTTCTACCTCGTAATGCTTTCAGCAACTGCCCGATTCACACAGATTCTGTGAATAGGGAAAAGATTGGGAGCAGGAGTGTGGAGGAACATATTGGAAAGGAGAATGGGGAAAAAAATATACAGCTCCATATCTCAAAAATAATCTTGTATGTGACCTTGCTTCCTGGTAAGTGTCCTGCCTACAGATATAGCCTGTGATTATCAGGTGCCTTTTTTCTCTCTTATCAGTGTTGTAAAGTTTTACAACGCCTACGTCTCAGTGGCATAAAGTTCACCACACCTTAGCTGTAGCTCTGTTTCCTGGACACATTAAAAGTTGTGATTTAACGTGAGTAAAAATAAAGATCGGGACTGACGTGGAGCTTAACCAGGTAAGATTGTTTCATAGGTAACACATTTCTACACAGCACCAATATATGCAGTCATTATTTTATGGGAGCATATTTACAGATGTTTTGTAGTTTAGTATTCTTTTGTGCATACTGATAAGAGGTTGTACCATTAAAGTTAAACATACTTAATCACAAATAAAAGCCTGTCTGTAAATGTCAGACTGTCTATGAATCTAGTAGGCATATCCAGGCAAGAACACGGGCAAGAAAAATACGTTGCCAAAAGGGAAAGGGACCAGGTAATGCAAGGTGATCAGTCACACAGCAAAACTGTTGACATTTCTGTGCACATAAAAAACAGAACAGCCTGAACTGGAAGACTGCATACCCATGCATGAATGTTGTTCATCCCAAACACGGTGCTTTCACTTTACCTGTAGTACATGAACAAACTAATCTTTATCGCTAAATCCTCCAGTTAAACTGACTGTACTGACTCACCAGTGGCACTGCCCAAACCAGTAGGTTTATGCACTGGAGCTCCAGACATTGGTGTCAGTGCTGACACTTGAATTGTCACTGTTGACCAAACCAGCTTTTGAAGGAGCTCAAACAGTTTCTTCAAAACTGAAACAACTGTATTTTCTATGTCTGTTGCAGGTATATGCTGTAGATAACTGCCAGGCTACTACATTGCTTATAGTTCTGTTAGTTTTTTAAAAAATAGCCAAAAGTTGCAGAGAGGTAATTACATTTCTCAGACATGATGCTAGGATGTCTCATTTTGTGGTTTTGATCCTTCCATTCTCATATTGATGCAAAGAAGGGAGAGCCTTGTAACTAAACAGAAAACACACATTCATATATAGACACACACACACACACACACACACACCTGTATGGCCTGCGCTGAGATCTCTACTTCTTATTCTACAGAGGTCAGTGGTATTTTCTGTGATAGCTACAAATCCCACCATTCTGTCATCATGTACAAACCAGAAAAAGGTAAGTTATCTGTGTATTTGTATTTTATTTTTAGCATGTTGTAGCCTTGAACTTTTATAATGGGCATTACGATTTAGAAAAGATTTCAGTGTTTCTGCAATATCTTTATTTATGACCCTAGTATTTGGAAATCGTTTATTGGTGATTATCACATTGCATTTAGAGTTCATAGTTTCACAGGACTATTACTTCACATCCTCACTTCTTATTTCTTACTCTTATACAGTAAAACAGACACATACACATTTACCTTCCTGTAATAAAGTCCACTGACTTGAGTGTTCTTTCTGATTTGATCGTCTGACTCAGTCACATCCTGTAGGAGTAGTTGAGCATTTTAAAATTGCTACCCTGGAACCCCAGTACTCATCCTCTGGGTCAGTTCTAATCTAGCAGGGCTTTTCTCAGGCCTGCTCCTTTTTAGAGGGTTAATAGTTCTTCCATATTTATCACTGGCATCCATTTCTGGTCTCTTTGACACTATAGTGACAGGTCTAGATGTACTAAGTTTATATCATATTCAAAATAAATTTTATGTAATCTACATTATAGTCTATACAATAAATACTCTCCAATAGTGGCTTCTCCACTCCTGTTGTTAGCTAAAAATATAAATGTTTATAGACTCATCTGTCTTGGACAACATCACATGGGGCCAGTGCAGATGCCAGCGCCACCAACACCACCAGTACTGGTGGTTGCCTGTTCACCAAAGTTTTCACATTCAAATGAATAAGAAGGGCTGTATTTTCTTAAAGTGAACTCTGTGAATGCGGCTTTAGTGTGCACCAAATCTTTTAATTGGTGTGTCAAATATTGTTGGCAGGTCACTTGTGAGGGTTGTGATCTAGGACTTTTCTCACAGAATACTCACTCGATGAAAGCAACAGTTAAATGTATGTAAATACAGAAAAACTGAAATGCAAAATGACTTAACCATGTTTTTGTTTCTTTTAAATATTCTTTCAGCCAATATTTATGCATATGCCCTGTCCAAAACCCTGACAAACATTTCATCACCTGCGACTGTAGGACTGTACTCTTCATGTCAGAATCGAATTAACATGATCCTCGGACAAATAGAAGGTATGTAAACGGTTT